CACAGACAGGTAACACACAGACAGGTAACACACAGACAGGTAACACACAGACAGGTAAAACACAGACAGACAGGTAACACACAGACAGGTAAAACACAGACAGGCTAATTACATTGGAAAAAGAGAACGACACACTTCACTTTGTCTTAAACTACAGACATTCTGACAAATAAGGGACTGTTCCTCAGTTTAAGGCAGAGAGTTGATCTTTTCTGCTCAGATTCAGCTACCAGTGCATGACGCTAATGTTTACTCATGATGCTAATGATGCTAATGTTTACTCATGATGCTAATGTTTACTCATGATGCTAATGTTTACTCATGATGCTAATGATGCTAATGTTTACTCATGATGCTAATGTTTACTCATGATGTTAATGCTACTCTCTGGCTCCTTGGGAGTAGAGGAGCTGAATGTTTGGCTCACTGCTGCCAACTAGTGGTCAGAGGCTGAACTACAACATAAAAATGAACGGCTGGCAGGAAAGTTGACATTTTAAACCTTAATTAAAAATCGATACAGGGCTTTAGAATATCGATACAGTATCGGGAAATGAAATATCGCCATATTTCAGTGTATCGATATTTTCTTACACCCCTACTTGACATAGAAGCCATCTTGAATCAATTTGACTTCAAAAAGGGCAATAAAATAATCTTAATTGAAAATTAACAGTGGTGCAACAGTTTACTAAAAAATGTTTGAAAAATCTGCCATGAAATTGTGGAGATTGGAGCCATTTCTCCGAACTGAAGCAAGAATTTTTTTCTCAAACTCTTCAGCAGAACCACACCTACAATGATTTGAGCTAAACTTTTATAGAGAAAAAAATAAAAGGAGGTAATTATTTATAGAGCGATCTACTTAAGCTTCATTATTACTCGTTAAAAACAAGAACAGTCATAATTTAAAGTAAAAAGATAACATCTGCTTTGACGTTTCACAGGCTGTTTGTCCAAGTTTCCATTCATTATGCTAAGCTAGGCTATCAATCTCTTGGCTGGAGGGTGGTTATGAAATGATAACACCTTTATTGTTTTTTTTAATATAAAAACTCTGGTTCTAAAAGCAAACAGAAGAAAATGAGATGGTGTCGCCTGAACAAACTGAGACCCACCACATTCTGCTCTTCCTTTGATTTCTGTGACAGAGCGAGCAGTAAATCCCCGCTGACAGCTTCTGCCTTTTTCAGATCTGTGGATAATTATCTGTGTCTGTACTCGCTCGCAGATCTCTGCACATTAAATAACTGGAGAGATTCAGGCCGAGCGGCACAGATCGGCCTCGTCAAATCCTTTAAAGATGCTTTTAGAACAGAACAAAACCACGTGTCCCCAAAGCTTCTGATGCTAAATCAAACGCTAAGTGCTGGAATGTCAGCGCTGACTGAAGGAACTCCTCCAAATGTTTCTGGATGAGATGGAGAACACCACATGGATCAGCACCAGGGGGTGAAAAACAAACAAAACAAACAAACAAAAACAAAACAAAACAAAGTTAATTGAAAGAAAACAGCAGAGGAGTGTTTCTGCAGTCAAAGCTCATTAAGCTGACACCTGGAGCTAAACCACTGCTGAAATTAGCTGAAGATGAAAATGAGTTTTTAAACACCAACTAAAAGCAGCAAATTGGAAATTAGAAGCCAAAATGCGGCAAAAGGTCAGCTAAAAGCTAAAAAGAGCAAAATGCTAGTCAAAAACAGCAAATTGATGATAAAAACTTAAAGTATCTGAAGTCTACCTAAAAGTGGCCGATCTGGCTAAAAGCTAAAAGAAGAACTAGACAAAAAGTAGCATAATGTTAGCTAAAAAAATAACAGAAGCTGGAAACAAAACGTATCAATAATGTTTAAGCTGAAAATAGCAAAAACTTATCTGAATGCAGCAAAGGGTAATTAAAATCTAAAAGTAGCAAAACAGTGGCTAAAAGCAGCAAATTTATTAGTTAAAAGCTAAAAGTAGCAAAATTCCAACCAAAAATAGCAAAAGGATGGTAAAAGCTAAAAGTAGAAGGCAAGTCAAAATATAAAGTAGCATAATGCTAGCTAAAAGTAACAAAAGATTACCGTATTTTTCGGACTATAAGCCGCGACTTTTTTCCTGAACTTTGAACCATGCGGCTTATAGT